TTAAGAGTGTGCTCCTAATCTCAGCTCGTTACCTGTATAAAAGACACCTGAGAGGGAGTCAAATACTTATTTCCCTCATGAAATTGCAAATCAATTTATAAAATTTTTGACATGCGTTTTTCTGGATATTTTTTGTTGTTATTATGTCTCTCACTGTTCAAATAAACCTACCATTAAAATTATAGACTGATCATTTCTTTGTCAGTGGGCAAACGTACAAAATCAGCAGAGGATCAAATACTTTTTTCCCTCACTGTATATGTATAAATATATATATAGTAAAGAGTATATATATATATATATATATATATATATATATATACACACACACACAGTGGGGAAAAAAAGTTCTCCCACTTAAAAAGATGAGAGAGGCCTGTAATTTTCATCATAGGTACACGTCAACTAGATTTTTTTTTCCAGAAAATCACATTGTAGGATTTTTTATGAATTTATTTGCAAATTATGGTGGAAAATAAATATTTGGTCACCTACAAACAAGCAAGATTTCTGGCTCTCACAGACCTGTAACTTCTTCTTTAAGAGGCTACTCTGTCCTCCACTCGTTACCTGTATTAATGGCACCTGTTTGAACTTGTTATCAGTATAAAAAAGACACCTGTCCACAATCTCAAACAGTCACACTCCAAACTCCACTATGGCCAAGACCAAAGAGCTGTCAAAGGACACCAGAAACAAAATTATAGACCTGCACCAGGCTGGGAAGACTGAATCTGCAATAGGTAAGCAGCTTGGTTTGAAGAAATCAACTGTGGGAGCAATTATTAGGAAATGGAAGACATACAAGACCACTGATAATCTCCCTCGATCTGTGGCTCCACGCAAGATCTCACCCCATGGGGTCAAAATGATCACAAGAACGGTGAGCAAAAATTCCAGAACCACACGGGGGCACCTAGTGAATGACCTGCAGAGAGCTGGGACCAAAGTAACAAAGCCTACCATCAGAAAATGGTAATAATATATATATAAAAAATAATAATAATATATATGTACAGTGGGGAGAACAAGTATTTGATACACTGCCGATTTTGCAGGTTTTCCTACTTACAAAGCATGTAGAGGTCTGTAATTTTTATCATAGGTACACTTCAACTGTGAGAGACGGAATCTAAAACAAAAATCCAGAAAATCACATTGTATGATTTTTAAGTAATTAATTTACATTTGATTGCATGACATAAGTATTTGATCACCTACCAACCAGTAAGAATTCCGGCTCTCACAGACCTGTTAGTTTTTCTTTAAGAAGCCCTCCTGTTCTCCACTCATTACCTCTATTAACTGCACCTGTTTGAACTCGTTACCTGTATAAAAGACACCTGTCCACACACTCAATCAAACAGACTCCAACCTCTCCACAATGGCCAAGACCAGAGAGCTGTGTAAGGACATCAGGGATAAAATTGTAGACCTGCACAAAGCTGAGATGGGCTACAGGACTATAGGCAAGCAGCTTGGTGAGAAGGCAACAACTGTAGGCGCAATTATTAGAAAATTGAAGAAGTTTAAGATAACGGTCAATCACCCTCGGTCTGGGGCTCCATGCAAGATCTCACCTCGTGGGGCATCAACGATCATGAGGAATGTGAGGGATCTGCCCAGAACTACACGGCAGGACCTGGTCAATGACCTGAAGAGAGCTGGGACCATAGTCTCAAAGAAAACCATTAGTAACACACTACGCCGTCATGGATTAAAATCCTGCAGCGCACGCAAGGTCACCCTGCTCAAGCCAGCGCATGTCCAGGCCCGTCTGAAGTTTGCCAATGACCATCTCGATGATCCAGAGGAGGAATGGGAGAAGGTCATGTGGTCTGATGAGACAAAAATATAGCTTTTTGGTCTAAACTCCACTCGCCGTGTTTGGAGGAAGAAGAAGGATGAGTACAACCCCAAGAACTCCATCCCAACCGTGAAGCAGGAGGTGGAAACATCATTCTTTGGGGATGCTTTTCTGCAAAGGGGACAGGACGACTGCACCGTATTGAGGGGAGGATGGATGGGGCCATGTATCGCGAGATCTTGGCCAACAACCTCCTTCCCTCAGTAAGAGCATTGAAGATGGGTCGTGGCTGGGTCTTCCAGCATTACAAAGACCCGAAACACACAGCCAGGGCAACTAAGGAGTGGCTCCGTAAGAAGCATCTCAAGGTCCTGGAGTGGCCTAGCCAGTCTCCAGACCTGAACCCAATAGAAAATCTTTGGAGGGAACTGAAAGTCCATATTGCCCAGCGACAGCCCCGAAACCTGAAGGATCTGGAGAAGGTCTGTATGGAGGAGTGGGCCAAAATCCCTGCTGCAGTGTGTGCAAACCTGGTCAAGACCTACAGGAAACATATGATCTCTGTAATTGCAAACAAAGGTTTCCGTACCAAATATTAAGTTCTGCTTTTCTGATGTATCAAATACTTGTGTCATGCAATAAAATGCAAATTAATTACTTAAAAATCATACAGTGTGATTTTCTGGATTTTTGTTTTAGATTCCGTCTCTCACAGTTGAAGTGTACCTATGATAAAAATTACAGACCTCTACATGCTTTGTAAGTAGGAAAACCTGCAAAATCGGCAGTGTATCAAATACTTGTTTCCCCACTGTACATACATACTTTACTTCACTTCCATTCTTTAAACTGGTACCGGGCTACCTTCAGAAGAGTCTTGAGGCTTGTGGGCGTCCTAGAGCATGTATGTGTTGGTGAGAGTCTCACCTTTCCATACAGGGGTTATATTAGTGTGCAGCCCAAACTGTTCGGACTCTACAGTCAGAAGTTGGCAGATCAGCGGTACCAACTTCAGACGAGTCCTTTGACGCTTGTGGGGCTGGTGTAGCAAAATGGTGTTCATGAGAGTCTCATCTTTCCATAGAGTGGCCAAACCGTTCGGACGCTACAGATGTTTTCATGAGAAGACCGATTTTTTGAATATATCATGTTCTGACAAACACTGCTGTAGCCTGGCCACCTTCCACCGCAGATGCGGAAGGCCTCCCCCCATTGGCGGATGCGGTGGATTGAGATGCAGCCCATGCAAAAAACAGATATCTCTAGGATTTTGATGGGGATTTTTTTATTATGCTAATTAGATTTCCACGGTGTCGTCGACATCGACTCTAGGGGGTTAATTGAAGTTTTACGTGAGTGAGTAACACTGACCTTGCGTGTGACCAGGTGTTCGTTGGGGTTGAGGATGAGGGCCTCCCACTCCTCTTCTGTATCCAGCTGGATGCTGAAGTCTCTCTGGGTCGTCCTGGATGGACTGGAGTCAACACTGGAGAGAAAAGAGACTTGCACGTGTAAATTCCATTCAAATAACTTTATTCATCCCCGAGCGGCAATTACTTTATGCACGCGCGTCTGCAACAACAACCAAAACAACCCCAACATGACAGCCTACCACAGCCAAACCACAGTGACAACCATTCACATCATCATCAAATCATCATGAACCGTTACCAGCATATCAACTACTGACACGTCTATCTAAAAAGCACCTGTGTCAAAGAGAAAGGGTCTATTATCATTGACGAGAATTAAGGAGAATTTCGAGAGATTCTCGAGAGGTATCGATTCTCGAGGGTGGGGGCTAAGGGTCTATTCTTATTGATGAGAATTTTGAGAGATTCTCGAGAGGTATCGATTCTCGAGAGACATTACTGTAATGTAAGTGACACTCGCGCACGACACTCACCCGACAGCTGCACCCCTCTAAGCAGGGCAGTGTAAACAGAATTGTCATATTTAAGACTTGTTTTATTGAGTTTTCACCTCAAATTGGAGTAGCAGCCTGTTACATTCTAAAATTATCGCTGTATCTTTAAGAAAGTGACGCTCAGTGTTTTTCCTCCCTTGGCTGCTCTGAGCCACCGTCCAGGCAAGAAGCACGCAGCTGATCAACTCACCAGGGGAATTCAACGTTTTCAGTCGCAATATAATGACTTCCGTGATATTTATAAAATGAAGCCTGGTTTGTTGAAACGTGACTTTAATACGCTGAAACTATACTTTTATATTCGTATGAGAGGGGTAAACATTCATGTTTGATATGCTAACGTTACTAGCTAGTATAGCTGACTAGCTGTATTATCTTACATTTACATTTTAATCATTTTAGCAGACGCTTTTATCCAGAGCGACTTACATGAGCAATTAGGGTTAAGGGCACACTAACAGATAGTCGGCTCTGGGATTCGAATCAGCGAACTTTCGCTTACCTGCCCAACGCCCTTAACCGTTAGGCTACCTGCCGCCCCTTGCAAGCTACATCTTGCAAGCTACATTTAGCTCATGTGTGTACGAAGGAGAAAATAAACCCTTTGTCAGCACACGTTTGTGAATTATTGTATTAATCAAGAGTGTAGCTAATATGTTTTAGAGGGAAAGTTGCTGGCATTGTTGAATAGTTTCAAAGCTTACTGGCTAGTCAGTGGCTATTGCGATACTGATATTTACGGTAAATTTCGAGCTGCAGAGCAAGAATGTCACGTTGCCAGCCAAAACAAAAGGTAAGGTAAATTGAGAAGTTTATGTACATATTATGTAAATTGAAATCTCCTCACTCTGCCTCTCCTTAAATGTTCGTCAACGAGAATAGCCTCTGAGTGAATTTGTGCGTGTGTATTAGAGAGTGAGAGAAAGAGAGAGAGAGAGATTGTGTGTGTATGTTATTAATGGTCACAAAGTTTATTGGCTACATTTCCTGGTGTCTCCACTAATGCCAGTGATGGTGTGGACATTGAAGGCTGTAGTGAACATTGAGAATGCCATGAGTCTAGACTGCTGTCTGGCATGACAATGAGTTGGCATGGTAACCCAAATAGACTGGCACTCATACAGAGTGTGAGAATACCTGTGTGTGTGTGTGTGTCCAGTTGTGGCAAATTGGTAACCTATCCCAGCACTACAGAATACATATTATCCTCCTCCTCAGACTACACCCCTCCCCTAGGCATGTCTCAACCCTGCATTAGTGAGTGTGTCACCTCTTGGCTCTGTCCTCGGCCAGTCCCAGGGCTTCCTCAGCTGCTTCCCTCCTGGTCCTCTCCTCAGCCAGACTCTCACTTAGCTGAACCACGCTCTGCTCCACCTCCACCAGCCTGGAACATACAGACACACCACACACACACACACACGCACGCACGCACGCACACAATGTAGTCATTCTGACACTCCTTGTCAAGCCAAACAGTCTGGCATCACAGCATTCTCAACGTTCACTATGAAGCCGGATTTATGAGAGGTCACTATTTGGTTGTTGATATAAATTATATGAAGACTGCCAGACTGTTTAGCTTGACACTGACAGCAATGGTTGGCAAGAGCACAAACACATCTGGAAACAGGTTAACCATGCACGGACACAGGGAGCGAGAGAGAAAGAAAGAGAGAACGTAACAGAGAGAGAGATAGAGAAAGAAAGCGAGACAGACCAAGAGAGAGAGAGTTTGAGAGAGAGACTGAGACGAAGGGACGGAGAGAGTCACCTGGTCCTGAGCTCGCCGGCCTCCAGTGCCTCCATGTCTACCACAGCACTGCTTCTCTCCTGGGGAGCTCCCGGAGCCACTTCTACAGACACCGCCCCCTGCTGGACGGGAGAGCAAACAGCAGGACACTTGAGCTGATTCACTTCAGTAGGATGAGCACGTGTCCAACGTTATATACACAAGCAAACAAACATATCGTAACCTACTGAGAAAGAGTACCACCAGGCTATTATTCATGACAACACACACGCAGACAAGGATACACACACAGTCAGACACAGATACCAGACAAACACACACACACACTGTAGTCATTCTGACACCAGACAAACCTGACAGACACACACACACGACTTCTACCTGTGCAAGGCCCTGGTGGTGCTGGTTAGGCGAAGCCTGGTTCTCCAGCCAATAGCAGCGGTTCTGGGTGCCCCTCAGTGTCTGAGACACTGCCCTCAGCTGGGCCGACAAACCCCCTTTCTCCTCCACCGCCTGCTGCAGCTGGGATAGGGAGATGGGGAGAGGACAGAGGAGAGGATGGGAGGAGAGAAGATTTGTGTTGAATATGGTGAACTTGGTGCAAACTGTTTCAATACCTTTGCGTTAGTTTCTGTGTTCAGCACAGGTTGTTGAGCTGTGTGCGTGTTCACTACCTTGGCGTTGAGCTGCTGGCAGTGCAGATCTCTCTGCTGGATCTCATAGAGACAGCGCTGCAGGTGACTCTGCAGCTGAGTTCTCTCTGCCTGGAGCTGGGTCAGCGACGGGTCATCAGACACATCCTTCCCCACCAGGGCCATGGTCTCCTTCCTCTCCCCAGCCAGACGCTGGCACTCAGCCTCCAGCCTGCTCCTCTCAGACCTGGGGAAGAACAGAGGTCAGAGGTCATCGCCTCAACACTTGAGTGACCCACTGGTGGACACAGTTGGTAGTGTGGTTTCTTCAGTGGTCTCTGTTTAGTAGCGGACAATCAAGCTACTTGTATGGCTGCAGTAAGCATTGAACCACTACCGGGCAAAACAATGAAGACACATGGAGGTGTGGGTCAGGGGCGATTCCAATTCCATTTCAAATGCAGTCAATATAAGAGGCGTATTAAAATGGAATTGAGCCCTGGTTTGTATTGGAGATGGGGTTGGCAGGAGATCTGGCAGCTGAAGGGGATTGTCATCACGAGACAACTCATTTAGTGCTTGACCATGGGGACCTGCCAGGGCATGTGAGCGAGTGGGCCCTGGCAGGGCTCTGTGTGGGTGGGGAGACAACCTGATGGGACACAATGAGGACAGATAGATGGGCTGTCACCTGCTGGTGAGTTAAAGACTTATTCTGGTGGAGCAACACAGTTTCCACTGTGGTAACTAGATGCCATCTGTTGCATAGCAATTATGTAATTAGCTATTTTTTTTGTGAAATGTGAAGAGGGGCATCCGTTTACCATTTACACTCAGGGGAATTGGCCCATATAGTCAATTTTCTAACAGATATCAATATGAGAAGCATGGGCCTATGTATAATCATGGTAGCAGTTCAAAGGGAACACCTTGGAGATTATGGGGAAATTATCAGAACAAAGGTGAGGAGACAACATTTCACCTGACAAGACCCAATCCAAACATAAACCTGTTGATTTTATGTGCATTTTACATTTACTGTACTTTTCTCAGCATTTGTTGATAACGACATCTGGAAATACTCGGTAAACATTCAGTAACATGATAAGAATATTCACGCAGAATTTGGGGTAGTTACCACATCAGACAAAAACATACAAGGGTTTGAGTGAGAGGTCTGACTGATGTCTCCAAGAGGCCACACACCTCTCCAAAGTGTGCACAGTTCCTAAGTGATTTCAATACACGTATCACTCAAAGAAAGAGCCTTCAAGCTGTGCAATTGAGGAAGTGAAGCAAGCACAGTGGTCGTTTTTGGTTTGGAACACAGCCCTGCATCCCCACCATTACAAAATTACTGTCCATTACAAATCGCAATCTAGGGCAGGTGGGCATGATCATTCTGTTGCCAACATGACTAGCCAAGTTCTAAAATACGATTATACCAGCGTTAGGATTTCCCAAGGCACTTCAGAGAAACACAGACATTTTGGTGAGCAAAGAATGGAGTCGTGAGTGCTTTCAGGTGCGTGTTCCACGGCTAATTTTCTTCACAATAAAGCAAACATTCTGCTTAGAACAACCCAGGGTATGATGCCATGTCATCCTGGTAATTCTACATAAACATAGAGATCATACATGTCCATAATGTGCATTTCTAAATGTGAAGTGCACATTTGGACTCCCGTGTTTGTGGTTTGCTTGTATGACATCAAAGACATATTCATTATAATCCTCGACGTCTCATCTTTCAGAACACATCGAGTGCTTTCGATTTACAGCATTCACCTCACCAATGTACAAATGTAACCCAATTGGCAGAAGTAATACAATTGAATGGCCAACTCAAATCTTTCTAGTTGCAGTTAGGATCTTACCTCAGTTCAGCCAGCTCTGCCTGGTACCCGCTGACTTCTGTTTCAGTCTGCAGTTTGAAGGCCTGAGCCTGCTGCAAGGCGCTCTGCAGCTCATCCACCCTCTGTCTCGTCTCCTTCAATAGACAAAACAAACCATTAGAGAGACAAAAACAACAACAACAACAACAACGCACATTTAAACGCTTAACTAAGAACTGCATTCCTGCGACACAACCAAATTGTCATGCTTGCACACACCAAAGCCATGACAGGTAGATTAGCTTTTTGTCTGGTCCTCACACACAGCCAAGCGAAAGAAGCCTAAATCAAAACAAAAACAAATGACATCCAAACAACAAGCTTTGAGTCACAGCTGGTGACTTACCAGCCCATCTCTCCCAGTCTGAAGGGCCTGAATACCACTGCTTCTATGGCTATTTGACTCCCCCGTGTTCGCGATGTCTACTGCCTCTGGACCTAATCCTTGCCTGGACTCGAATGTCCTCTTTGCCTCAGCCAGCTCCTCCATCAGCCGGTCTCGGTCATCTTGGAGGCTGGCCATGGACCTGGAGAAGGCCAACACCTTACTGCTATACGTGTCATTTTCCAGGGAAACCCGTTGGAGCTGCCCTTCCTTCTCTGACAAGGCCACGGACAGCTCGTCTACCAGTGAAGTGAGCTGGGAGGGAGCATCTTTGCTCTCTAGAGCAGAGAGTTTCTGTACCAGGATGTGTCTCTCTTTGGTCAAGGTGGCCAGCTCTGAGGTGGCGTCCCCTAGACGTCTCTCCACCTTGTTCATGGCCCCCTGGGTCTCTCGGAGCTCCTCATCGTATCGGTTCCGGAGGATCTTGAAGTCCTCGATGAGCAGGTCGCGGTCGTTCTGCAAGGCGGCCATGGCTTTACCCAGAGACTCGTTCTGAGACTTCAGGTCCGTGCTTTGGACTCTGGCATTGGTCAGCAGCTGCTCTGTTTGTATCAGGTCCCTGGCCACCTCAGCCACCCTCTGGTCGGCAGTCTTACTCTCATTTCTCATCAGTTCGACTTCTTGTTCAAAGGCATCCAGTTCGCTGTTGTACTTGTCCTCTGCCTCTCCCAGTTTCTTCTCAGTCTCGCGCTCCAGGAGCTGCAGGCTGCCTTTCCAGTCGTCCGCTGCCACTTTCTGAGCAAACAGTTTTTGCTGGAGGTCGTTACATTCCAAAGCTTTGGCTGCCACGGCCTGCTGCAAGTCGGCAATCACTTTGCCTTTATCAGTTTCTTGCATTCCCTTATTCAGGGCCAATATGTTAGCTTCCAGATCAGTGACCCGAGTTTTAAGTTTGGAATTCTCAGCTTTTAAGGCATCGCTTGCCTCTCCCTCCCTCTCGAGTTCCAGAAGGGTCTTCCGGTTCTGCTTTTCAGCTGTGGCTTTTTGGTTTTCCAGGTTTTTGATTGCGTCTTGCTGCTTCTTGAGCAACTCTTTCAACTGGCTGTCCTTCAAGGACAAGACCTGATTCAAGTCCTCTCTATATCTGATCAGCTGCGCCCTGAGCATGGCATTCTCCGAGTTCAGATCATCCATCTGATGAAGGAGAGTCCTAATCTCGTGTTTAAGGCCCTTGGTTGCATTGAGGTCTCCTTCAGCTGAGCCCTCCTTGCCTTGCATTCCAGTCTGATTCCTTGCCTCAGACATCCTATATTCTGACATCAAACGCTCTCGCTCTGTCTGCAAGGAGACCATGGAGTTCCTGAATGTTTCCATCTGAGCAGCCATTTGTTCCTTTTCCTGAATGGACTTGTCAACTTTCATCTGAAGGGTTTTGACTTTGCTCTCCAGCCTTCTGAACTCCTTGTCAGCTTTCTCCCTTTCATAGTACAAGGCAGTTAGTCTGTCCTCGTAGCCTTCAACCTGGGCACGGTGATTGGCTTGCAGCTGTTCTAGATACCCTGACATCTGTCCATCTCTGGAGGACAGCAGAGAGGAGATTTCTGCATCTTTGTTCTGCAGGAGTGACTTCAGGTGCAGTGAAATGGCCTTCTGTTTCTCAAAATCAACCTGAAGCATGTCACTGTGAGACTGCGAGAGGAGTAGCTGGGACTCTGTGTCTAAAAGTGTATTTTCCAGCTGCTGGAGATCGAACTCCATTTTAGATGTGGAATCTACACTGCCAGTGAGATGTCTGTTCAGTGCACTCTTATCCTGTTCTAATCTCTCAACCTGCTCACTCAGTTCCTGCAACTGTTGATTCAGGAGCTCCACGGTTTCGTTAAGCTCTCTATTGCTGGCACCCATTATAAACAACTGCCTCTGCTGAGCTGTGGCAGCTACTGTGTAATCACCAAGTGCCCTCTCGAGCCTCGACTTGGTTACCTGCAGTTCAGTCACCTCCTTCTCTTTCACTCGAATGTCTTCAAGGAATCTCGTTATGACAAAGCCCTGTTCTAGAAGCTGGCTGTCCTTCTCATGCAAGGTATTTAGGAACATATCATTCCACTGTTTCACAGCATCGGCACCCTGAGGACTGGAGGATAGGGCTGCTAACTTAGCCAAATTTGTGTCAGCCTCTCTCTTCAGAGTATTCATTTGTAAATCTTGAGAATCTATTTTCCTCTTCAATTCTAACACTACCTGATTCTCCTTCTCCTTGGAACCCAGAAGTTCCTCTATATGTTGCTGTAAAATGACCTCCCTCTCCATGTAAATACTCTTTTGCTGCTCAGCTACATGTTGTAGTGCTTTAGTTCTCTCCATGACCTGACATTCTGATTGATTGTTCTTTTCTGATACTAACTCAACCAATTTGTCTTTTTCAGAGCTAATGTTTGTCAAATCTTTCTTTGCCTCATTGAGAAGGTTCTTGTGTGTGGTAAGCTCAGCTTCAAGATGCCTCCTCTCTTCTTCTAGACAAGATATTCTCTTGGTCGTTTCCTTCAGCTCTTTCTCCACCTGTTCATGCGCTGACTCTGAAGCCTTCAGAGACCTTTCTAGGTCTAAAATCAGCTCCTGGTATTTGATGGAGTCATTTTGCAACTGATTGATTTCATGATGCTTTTCTTTCAGCAGTTCCTGTAGCTCCTTCTTTATATTTTTGGAGCCCTCGTTGCCTCTTTGGAACATTTTGAGTTTCTCCTCAAACTCCTTGACTAACCTCAGCTGTTGTTCCTCCTCCTCCTGGCAAACCTGAGTCGCCTTCTCTTTGCTTGCAGTCAATTGAGAGGAGAGCTGTGTGTTCTGGGCTTGGAGAACATTGACCGCCTCTGTCAGTTCATCAATTCTTTCAGAGTTTTTGAGGATCACCATCTCCAAATACTCATTCTCATTTTTTACTTTGTCCGAGATCTCTTGGACATTTTCAAGCTCCTCTTGTAATATAGACTTGTCGTCCTCCAAGATCTTGACCTTCTCATTTAGGCTGATGGTCTCTTGGCTGTGTCTGCTGATCATTTCTTGGAGCTCTGAGATGGCATCGTCTTTTTCTCCCAATTCCGCTTCATGCTCATTCTGCATTTGTTTAATTCTTTCAGAGAGAGTTTCTTTCTCCTTTTGCATCAATTCATTGATTTCCTGTTGGGCAACAAGTTCTGTCTTCTGTGACTCAATCTGGGCAGTCAGTGAATTATTCAAAACGAGTGCATCATCTAGTCTAAGCTGCATGTTTTGCTCACATGCTTTTGATTCGGTGTGCCACTTTTCTAACGAAGAGCTTGCTTCTTTGAGTTCCTCTGCCAGACTGACATTGTTGAGCTGCATCTCTGTTAAATTCCACCTGAGCGCTTCTGAGGAATCTACAAGACTGTGGATCTCTGCTTCCAAATGGTTGTTTTTAATAGTCAACTCTTCAACTGTGGCTTTCTGCTTATCATCAAACTCAAGCAAGTCTATTCTGATTCTTTTATTCTCCTCCTCCAGCTCTTCCATTTTCTGCTGCTTTGCCTTAGTAAACTTTCTCATCTTCTCTTTAATTCTTTCATTTTCATCCTCCATCTCCCCAACTTGCTTCTCCAGATTCTCCCTCTCAGATTCAGATTTGTGTGCTTTAAAGAGTGCTTCCTGCCTCTCTCTTCTTGCCCCCTCCAATAGTTGTCTCATCTTGTCCATTTCGCTACTGACATTCTCGTAAGCTTGTAAAAGGGACTCATACTCCTGTTTCAGCTCTGTGTGCTTAGATTTCCACTCCGACAACTCATCAGTCTGCGAGTCTTTCAGGGACTCAAGCTGACACGAAAATGCCTGTTTCTGTTGGGTGATATTTTCTATAGTGAGTTTGAGGCTTTCACAGGCTGCAGATAAATTGTGATTATCATTGATGATGCGATCATTCTCAGCAATGAGCTTCTCTTTCTCCTTGCTCAGGGATGATACAGAACTCTCCAGATCCTCTTTTTGTTGTTTCAACTTGGCAACAGACATTTCCAGTACAATGGATGAAGTCCCAATTTCTTCATTTTTAGCTGAGAGTATCTGCATGTGTTCCTTCAGAGAGCCATTCTCTTTCAAGATTTCTTTCCTGGAAACTAAGGCTGCTTGAAGCTTCCTGGTGAGAAGTGCTGTTTTGGTTTGGTTGTCCTGATCCTTTGCATGGCTGGCATCTTCTCGAGACCTCTGCTGAAGCTCATCAACTTCAGTCCTCATCTTTTCCATGGCAACTTCGTGAATGTGAATCTGCCGCTGCAGTTGCTGTTCCAAGGCAGCAATAAGCTCTTCCTTTTCTGTGGCCAGAGCCTGAGAAATCAACAGGGCATCATCTCTTTCCTTGAGACTCATCTCATGTTCTTCAGGGGATATCTTAAGAGACTGGACCTCCTCCTTCCCAATAACCCCAATCTGTTCAGAGGATTTATCCTGCAAACCAGGTATCTTTTGAAGAAGAACCTCATTTCCTTTCCTAGCTTCCTTTAGCTGAGCATCCAGCATGGCAACTTCATCGTTTAATTGTTCTACGACCATGAAGGTGCTTTCTTTTTCCTGCTGTAGTGATTCCATGTGCAGCTTATGACTTTCCATTTCAGCCTGCAACTCTACACAATGTGACTGTGCTTTTTCAAGCTCCACTTTTAGTTGTTCCTTTTCTTCACTGAGTTGCTGTTGAGTTTCAGCCCAAGTGTTTTGGAGGATTTGAAGTTCGGACGATTGCTGGGCGATGGTGGTGAGTGCATTCTCCAGCTCTCCTTTCATTCTGTCCCTGTCCTCTATTAGTTCTTTGCTTTCACTTATAAATGTGTGTGACTGGGATTCTTTCTCACCAACAACTGCTTCTAAGGCGCGTTTTAGCTCCTCCACTGTGGCTTGTAATGTGCCCAACTGGTTCTGCAGCACCAGGTGGTCATCTACCATAGTTTGTTTTTCCTGCTGGTGCTGCTGCTCGGCCATCTCTACTGCTTGTTGCTGTCTTGCGAGCTCTTCCATCTTCTCCTTTATCTCTGCATGGGCTTTTTTCAAGTTGATTTTCTGTGCAGCTCATTCTCTCAGATAATGCTTTGGACTTCTGTTCCAGTGCTATGAGAGCTTTGTCCTTATTTGCCAACTCAGAGGACATGCTTTCCAGTTTGAAGTGAAGGGTTTCTAGCTCTGCTTGATATGATGAGGAGGCACAGGCTTGACTCTCCCTCTCTGATAGGGACATGTTGAGGTCTTGAAGAGTTTTATCCCGTTCCTGTACAAGCAGTCTCAGGGTCTCCAATTCACCTAGCTGAGAGACTGAGGACTGACTGATTTCATCGAATTCCTTGACCTTCTGGTCATAACTTAACTGGACAGCATTAAGGTCATTGGTCTGCTGACAGTGTTGTTCCAGGAGTGCTTTATAATAATCTTTTAAATCTGAGAGCTCTTGGGTGTACTTTTTCTCACTTTCTTGAGACTTCTTTATCGTCTCTTTTCGTGCCAGTAAAGCAGCTTGAGCCTTTTTCTGCATCATTACCTTTTCTTGCTTCACCTTTGCCAACTTGTTTTCAATGTCAACAGCTGTAGCACTGGAGATTGACATTTCCTTCTTCCAACTCTCCTCGCTCATTTTCATATAATCTTGAAGCTTCTCTAACTTCAGTATCATACCACTTCTCTCCTGTTCAAAGGCCTCCTCTTTCTCTGACATGTTGGAATGAAGTTGATCAATGATGATGCTCTTTTCATTGAGATTATGCAATGCTGTTGTCAAACTTGCTTCTTGTTCATCTAGTTTCGCTTGCAAAGTTTGCATATTTATTTCTAATTGTTCTACAAGACTGTCTCGCACTGATAAGACCTTGGCCAGTTCTAGGAGTTCACCCTCTTTCTGAAGAACTTGCCGTTTAATATCTGCAACAATGTCTTCGTGCTCTTTTGTAGTAGCTTGAGCTTGTAAAGTGAGTTCTTGCAACCGATCCTGTAAGCCTGAAATCTCAATTCCTTTATTCACATTCTGCTCTATTTGATGTTCATGCTCCTCTAGCTTCTTCAATAGATCTTTCCTTACAACCAGGGCAGCTTGGAGCTTCTTTTTCATGACCTCTTTCTCTTTGGTTAACTTAGCGAGCTGAGTTTTGAGATTATCCTTTTCTTTAACCAAATCTCCATTCTCTGAATCCTTGGTCTCAATTTCACTTTGAGAGCGTGACAGATGAGCTTTGCTCTCTTCTAGTTGCAAGGAAATATTTTCAAGCTGTTTCATATAGCTACTTTGTGCATTTTCCAAGCTTTCCAGCTGTGAAAGAAAATTACTATTTTCCTCAGCGTATTTCATCCTTTCGTTTGAGGCAGATTCAATTACTTGTGCTACTGAAGCATCTTTCTCCCTCAACTGTTGACTGAGACCTGCTAGCAATTCCTTCTGCTGACTTATTTGGATGGTCATGCAGCTGACCTGCTCATCTTTCGTTTGGATTTCACTAAATAGAGCTGTCTGTTTAATACCTGCCTCTCTCCGAATCTCAGTCTCAGTTTGGAGCTGTGCATGAAGGTGCTGTATCTTTTCTTGCAATAAAACATTCTGTTGATTCTCACCTTGATAGCCCATTTCTTTATCATTAAGGGTACACTCTGTCCGTTTTAACAATTCTGAAACTTGATTTAATTCACCTCTCAAAGAATCTACCTCACACTGATGTCTTTCTCTCAACTGTTTGATCATAGTCTGTAGGGAGGCCTTTTCTTCCTCTAAAGCAACTAATCTATCAGACATGGTTAGTGACAATACAGATAAATCTTTGTCAGAACACTCTTTGCTGACCTCCAGTTGTCTTAACTCACTTTCCAGATCTTGAAGAGCCTGCCTCAATTCAATATTATGCTTGTCTTTTTCCTGAACAGATACTAAGATATTTTCAATCTGAACCCTGGATGCGGATGCCTCTACCTCTTTCGCTTTTAGCTGATCTGAACCCTGTCTAATTGCTGTTGTTGCCTCTGCCAACTTTTCATGCAAACTATCTAGGTCTTGTTTCAATGCTTGAACTTTAAAATCTTTTGACTTCATTACATTTTCAACACTTTTCAACTGCTCCGCAATGAGATTTTTATCCTGTGTCTCTCTATCCAGGACCGATAGCCACTCCTTCTCAGAGTCCTGAAGAGTTTGCCCTATCTTTTGAATGTCTGATTTCAATCCGGTGATTTCTTCACCTTTGACACTAACCTCAACCTGTAGTCTTTCCTTCTCAGCCACCATTTTCTCCATGACTTCGTTGATGCTGCTAGACTGCTGCTGCTTTTGGAAATGCAACTGCTCCTGCATTGTTTGTATCTGGCTGCTGTAGCTCCTGCCATGTTCATCTCTCTCAATGATGAGTTTCTGAACTTCTTGTTGCAGACATTCTCTTTCACTGATTGCTGCATCCAGCCGCTGTTGGTTTTCTTGCTTTGACAGAGCGATCTCCTCTCTTAACTTCTTATTTTGATCTTCTAGTTTCTGCATTTCTGACACTACGTGCTCTGCCTGTTTCACCTGGGCTGTGTACTGACTGTTAATGGCATGAAGGGACAACTCTCTCTGCTCAAGATTCTCTGTCAGTGCATTTACCTGAGCAGCCACATGCAAATACTGAGATTTGAGTCTCTCAATTTCGACAGTGAATGTTGAGGTGCTCCTTTGATGGGTAGCAAGGGCATCTTCCTTTTGTTTTGAAAGGTCGACATTGAGTGTTTGGATTTGCTGAAGGTCTTGACGCAGCAAGGAAGACTCATTCCTCAGCGCCTCTATGGTGCTTTCTGCTGCCTGAACTGCCCCGTTGCTGTTACTGAGGGCCTTATTAAGACTGGACATCTCCTCTGCCCTTTGAGAAAGCATCGTCCGAGCTTCCTGGAGCTCCTCTAAATGAGCAGCATACTTCTCCTGAAGATTTACAAAGGCACTTTGGTTCTCCTCGGCTGACTGGCTGAGGCTTGCAGACTTAGTGGAGAGTTCCTGAATCTGACCCTGCAGTTGTGACACCAACTCCGTGCTCTCCATGAACTGGGTTTTGAAGAGGGCTGCTTCATCTGCCCTTCTCTGCAGCTCCTGAAGGGCCTTTGACTGGTCCATAACGGCAGTCCCTCTTTCGTCTAAGGCTTCTTGAAGTCTTGACATTTCAGAGGACTGGGCACTGAGGCTACTATTGAGCTTTGAAACAGACTCTTTGAGGTGCGAAAGCTGCTCTTTTAAGCTCTCACATTCTGCATCTTTGGCTTTGAGTTTTGAATTTAGGCTTTCGCTAACAGCTGAGGAGGTGCTTTGGGCCTCAAGGATGACCTGGGCTTTCTCTTTCAGGGTCTCTTTTAACAGGGAGGACTCAGAGGTCAGGCTGTCAACTTGACCTCTGAGCTGCGTGGTGGAATCCTCCAGCTCTGAAACATATGTCCTTAAACTCACATAATCATCAACCTTCTGCTTAAGCTGTGCCTCTTGTTCTTCAAGCCTCCCACTGAGCTGGTTACTCTGTTCCTCCGCATTACGTAGATCGCCCTGAAGCTGTTTCATGGTTTCCAACATTTGAATTCAGCTGGGTTTTGAAATCCTCAGATTCTAAGGTGAACTTCTTTCTGAGCAGACTCAGCCGTTTCTCTGCCTCATGCAGCGATACATCTTTGTCTTGAAGGCTTTTCTGAAGACTCTGAGCTTGTGTCTGCAGCTCAGTGATGTCCTGGGTCATCTGACCCTCACCCTCTATTGACTTAGCTTGTAACTGCTTAATAAACATCTCCTGCTGTTTTAGGGACTCATCTCTCTGCTGCAAGGTCAAACCTATGCTATCCCTGTCTGAGCAGGCTGCTGTCAGTTGCTTTGTTAAATTAGACACATAACTGTCCCTGTTAGAGATCTCTGCTTTGAGAACTGAAATCTCTTCAAGTGTCTTGGATGCCTCTGTGACAGAGTTTTTGAGTTCAGCTTTTAGTCTGACATTCTGTTCGTTCAACGCTTGGATGTTGTCCCTAAGATCTAATACCTCAGCTTGCCTCTGTTCCATCTGCTGCCTCAGCTTGTTGCCATCTGCTGCGTAGTTATCGAGAATGGTCTTCAGCTCTGTATTTTCAGACTCCAACTTCACACTGCTCTCGTTCATGACACCAAGCTGACTGCTTAGTGACTTCAATGACTCGTTCCTCTTGTTCAGCTCGTCTTTGTGGTTTTCACAGTCCTGTGTCATTTGTCTGAAGGTCTGTTCTTTTTCTTCCAGACGCTGAGTCAGTTGTGAGCATTGCCCTTCAAGTGATTTAGTCTCACCCTGCAGTTGATTAAGTTTATTCTGTAAAGAGCTCCACTCCTCTGCTTTCTGCTGCAACATGGTGTCTTTCTCCGTGAGCTCAGATTTCAGTGCGGTCCCCTGCTCCTCTAATAGAGCCAATGTCTCCTGGAGTTGCGACAACTCGCTCTGCTGGGCCTGTAATTGTGAGTTTTGATTTCTGATAGCCTTCTCTTTTTCGGTCATGTTGTTGTTCAGTTGATCAAGTTGGGTGTTCAAGCTGTCAACTTGCTCTTGTGAACGTGCAAGTGCCTCTTCACTCCCTCTAAGCAACTTGGTGAGATTACTACATTCATTTGTTTTCTCCAGCAAACTCTCTGAAACGGTCTGTTTATCTTGCTCTAGGACCTTGTTGAGTTCCTCTACTGCTACACTGAGATCATTTTTGTCTTTCAATAGCCCTTTAATAATTTTGCAGTTTTCTAAATGTTGCATTTCAAAGTTGGAAAGTTTATCTTGAAGTGAGTTCTTCTCCTTTGTTAATTCAGAAATGGACTCAGACTGTACAGCTAATTCCTGTTGCAGTTTCTGCTTCTCCTCTGTCATACTTTTCAGTTGTGAGCTCAGGTTTGTGTTCTGCTCAACAGTCACATTTACCCTTCTATCAAGCTCAGATGCGACCTGCATTTGCTGGGCAAGTTCCTTCTCTCTGATCTCATAAACAGCTCGGAGTTGTTGGTTTTGCTCACTCAGTGCCTGGATGTGACTGTGGAGGCCAACCAACTCAGCTTGCCTCTGTTCCATCTCTTCCCTTAGCTTGTTGTTTTCTGCTCCATGGTTCTCCAGAATGGTCTTCAGCTCTGTATTTTCAGACTCCAACTTCGCACTGCTCTCGTTCATGACACCAAGCTGACTGCTTAGTGACTTCAATGACTCGTTCCTCTTGTTCAGCTCGTCTTTGTGGTTTTCACAGTCCTGTGTCATTTGTCTGAAGGTCTCTTCTTTTTCTTCCAGACGCTGAGTCAGATGTGAGCATTGCCCTTTAAGTGATTTAGTCTCACCCTGCAGCTTGGATAGAAGCTTTTTCTGCTGCCCAAGTTTATTCTGTAAAGAGCTGCACTCCTCCGATTTCTGCTGCAACACGGTGTCTTTCTCAGTGAGCCCAGCTTTCAGGGCAGTCTCCTGCTCCTGCAGTAAAGACATTGTCTCCTGGAGTTGCAACAGCTGGCTCTGCTGTGCCTCTATTTGTGAGTTCTGATCTGTGACAGACTTCTCTTTTTCAGCCATGCTTTGGTGGAACTGCTCCACCTGAGTGTTCAAACTGTCAATGTGTGCCTGTAAACGTGCAACTGCCTCCTCCTTTTCCTCAAGTGTTTTAGTTAGAAGACTACATTCATTTGTTTTCTCAAATAGACTCTCGGAAATTGACTGTTTATTTTGCTCCAGGACCTTGTTCAGTTCATTGGCTCTAATAACCAGCTCCTCCTTGTCTTTCAGAAGCCCTTCAATTAGTTTGCCGTTTTCAGAATGCTGTGTTTCGAAGGAAGAGACTTTGCTTCTCAGAGAATCCCTTTCATCTGTCATCTCTGAAATGGATTTCTCCTTTCCAGCTACATCCTGTTGCAATCTCTGATTCTCCTCTCTGAAGCCATTTGCTTGAGAGTTCAAACTGCTGTTAAGATCAAGAGCTGCCGTACATTTTTTATTAAGCTCATCGACAAGCTGCTTTTGAGACTTAAGTTCATCGGCCTTCTCCTTCAGGTCAGCTTGCAGTTGTTGTTTTTCAGTCTTCATGTTTTTCAAGAGCTTCTTCATATTCGAGATATTTTCCAATTTAACCTGCAGGTCTTTCGCCAACTTCTCCTTTTCAGAATCTCTGGCTTGCAGTTCCGTGTTAAATTTCCGTTGCTCGACTTCGGCCTCTTCCTGGATGGCCCTGAGTTTTTCCTCAAGAGAGGATATTGTCTCCAGTTTATGTTGCACCTCTGTTTTCAACTGTTCCTGACACTCTGTCTGCTTCTCTAGCTGTTTGGACAGGGTCTTAAGGTCATCGTTGTGTTTGGCCACCTCTGCGAGAAGCTTGTTCCGTTCCTCCTTGACGGATTTGAGTTCTTTCTCATATGTCTGCTCCTTATCCTGGAGCTGGTCTTTCAGTGTCTCGCTGGATGTACTTACTTCCCTCAACTGAGAGACAAGACCCTCGGACTCCTGTAGTTTCTGGGAAGCAACAGTCACCTGCTCCTTTAGTGAAGAGATCTGAGTTTCGCACTCCAAGAGATGATTACGATGGCCCACGTTCTGCTTCTGGATCTCCCCGCGAAGTTCCAGGATGGTCCGCTTGTCCTCTTCCACTTGCTTCCTCAGGTCCTCCACCTCTACTGTCCCCGAATCCTTCTCCTCTTTGGCCTTGCTCAGCTCAGTCTCTGCATCCTTCAGATGTTCCACCAGCTCTGCCATCCTGTTGTTCAGAGCCTGCTGGTCCGAGTTCTGAGAGTCTCTGATGATCTGTGCCTCCCGCTCCGATTTGGTGAGGGCGGTTCTCGATGCGAACCAGGTCCTCCTCCTTGAGCTTGATCTCCTGCTTCAGCACCATGATCTGCTCTGCGTGCTCTGCCATGTTGCCCGAAAGGGCTAAGATCTCCTTGTCCTTGTCTGAGAGGACGTCTCTGAGGTTATCGATCTCCCGTTCGCAGCTCTGAAGGTCGTGGATCAGCTTAGCCCTTTCTTCCAGATGTGTGGTGTTCAACTTGTCCAGTTCATCGTTCGTCTGATCCAGGTCGTTTTGAAGAGTCTCTATTGTGGCCTCTTGTTTCTGTGTCTACAGATTTGGAAGAAATACAAATATGTTACTGGAGGCAGAAATATTCTACAGTACTGTCAATATCATTGCTATTTAATGAGTGTGAAGGTAATAGTTTGCCTAAACTATTAAAATTGGAGCTAAACCAGAAGACATCTCTTATCTGCAAAAATTCTAACCTCAATTCCAATTAATATTTATTTATATTTCATCACAGTAAGTAGGCCATGGTAGTCATATCCTGAAAACCTTACCTTCTCTTTAAGCACACTCAGCTTATGTGTGAGATCTGCAACCGCTGTCTTCAGTTCTGAACACTGTTTTTCAAAGGTATTGCATTTTGTGGAAACTTCAGTGAGCTGAAAGATGAAAAGGTGTCATATTAATGACTTACTATAAAACAGATTTGACTATTAATTGACCGCCAAAACAGGCTACTGTCCTTACATTGTCCTCAGACTGAAGCAGCTTGTCAGAGACCTCTTTGTGCTTCGCCTCCTTTTCCTTGAGAGAATCTCGGAGGCTGTCGATGAGCTCCAGTTTCTCAGAGGTCTTGACTAATGTGTTCTCCTTCTCTATAAGCGACGTTTCCAGGCACTCTTGGGTGTCGCTCAGTCTAAAAAGGCATCAAAGAGAAAGTTGAAGTTTAAAGGTTACAAATGAGGACATGGTGATAATCTTACATTCTCCAACAATAGCACAAACACATGATCATCAGTGTACAACTTTACCCATGCTTGATGGTATTTGTTTATTAATAACTTGCATATGACTGCAGTATGAAAAATGTATGCACCCACTAACTGTAAGTCGCTCTGGATAAGAGCGTCTGCTGAATGACTAAAATGTAAAATGTTAACTGCATGGAGTTGGACTATTCAGTACAAAAACCTTACAATCCTTTTACCCTTAAATGAGTACCGCGCTCTGGATATACATTTGGGAAATGAACCGGTTTACTAGTTATTTGTGTGACCCGTGACCTTTCTTGGTTTAGCACATTGATTGAGGATGAATTGTGTGGGCTTACCCTTTGAGCTGCTCGTTGAGGCTGGTGACCAGGAGCTGGTGTTTCTCTGCATCCCTGCTCTGCTGGCTCCGGAGGCTGGCCAGTTGACCCTGTAGTCTCTCGGACTCGTTCTGTGGGGAGGGGCAGGAGTGGGAAGGTTTAACATGGTTTGGAGAAAAGCTCAGAGTAAAGCCGGTAGGAAGCTCACCATCTCACTGCACACATATTGCACCAAAATAGTTGTACTCCCTTTCTTCTATGCACAGTCTTAGGTTTAGTCCAAACAACACAGCATAAAAGGAACACATTTCAGCTTTCACAGGACATTTTGGCTTAGTATCATTTCTATTATCTCTCTTGACTTTCTTAGGGTGAAAAATGCTTTGAACTTGGCCTGATTAGAATTGTTATATACTTTTGTATGCTCCTTTTATGATGGTTGAACAATTAACCATCCATGTGAGTTTGTTCTCCACACCCAGTGAATTGGTGGCCAAAATATCCTCAACATAGCACTCGCTTATTAGAAGACTGCTCACAAGCCGTGAACACAGGACAGTGGGTTTCCAAAACAAACAAGCCAAAGGATTAGCCTTCACCGCCGGAGGTGTTCTCTCTAGCGCACACAAACACTAACACACCTGAGAAACCCAAAATGGCCGCCTTTCTTCATCTACATCAAACGTCACCTGTGTTAGAGGGGTTTGTTACAAAATCCTAGTCCTCGGGAGGAAACATGCAATTAACTGAATAGTACAAATTAATTCAGTAAATAGTCAATCCAAAAGCAAAGGCAAAACAAACTCCCAAACACAAAGGAGAACTTATAAGATGCAAAATATTAATAATGGGAGCAGCTGACAAAGTTACAATATACTGGGTTAGATTTCCACTACCTCAGGAACTGGCACAGGTAAGTAAAACCCAAAGTCAGTTGTGTTTGTGTTTTGTGTGTTTCTTTTTATTAACAGACCAGGAGGTATAGGAGGGTATGAGCGGGTCATCTATGGTGAGTGGTATGGAAGTGTGAGAGGGGAGTAAGAATGGTCCCTTAAGTCAGTGGTTCCTAAACTGTGGGGTGCCAAAATGTGTAGAATTGCAGGAAATAAGATTTAAACCTGCAAAATGTTCGCTCTGCCAACAAGAGCTGTTTGAACAGTTTGTGTCATGAACAGTGCTTCTGCTCATAGAAACAGGCGTGGGGTGTGGGATGTTCCCCAATGCTGGAAGTGGGGGCCTGAGTGAAAGAAATGTTTACAACCCCTGCCTTAAGTGTCTTTATGGAGGCTATCTTGGTACAGTGTGTCATTCTGCAAGGTGCATGTGGGTCTGATAGCTCTCCAAGGTGTGAGATATGAGGGTCCAACCAGGTCTGTGAGACGTGAGAGTTTACCTGTAGCGACTGGATGCGAGCCTGCAGCTGCAGCCGGTCCTCCAGGTCCTGACAGCGGTCCTCCAGCCCAAGGATCTGCTCCTGCAGCTGGTTCCTCTCCAGCTCCAACTCCTCCACTACCGACCGCAGGCCACCTGCAAGGGCAGTCGTATCGACAAGAAAGAGACGATCAACTCAGTGGTTGAGAAATCTGGTAGTTATCCATTATCATCATCATCAAAACAATAATTAGCGAAAATGGAGGCAAATTGTAATCATAGAAACTGCACTTTATTCAGTCACAATTGAAACATTTCCATGCAAACATATTGTTGTGATGGATTACAATGTTTAGGGTAGTTGGCCTACTACTTGCCCCATGCAAGATCAATGGTTTTTGGACGTACATTTTTTTTGTTTTGTCCCATTAAAAACCATTAACATTTCAACACAGTGAATGTGTCAAACACAAGGAGAGATGAGAGGGGGAAAAAGAACAGACAGGGCAAAACAGCAAAAAAGCCAAACACTTACCACGGACGGGGGAAACTCTCCACCTACATTCATATGAACTGACAAGAGTTCAATGCATTCGACATGGACCAACATCGTAGCGAGCCAAATACTAGCCAGTTCAACCAGCATGCACATGTTCAAATAATAAGCACCTCAACTTGTGATGAGATAACACAAAAACCCACAGATGAGTCAACCATAGGGAATGTATCCACTCTGGGGTTGAATGTGTTAGACTGGAGAGAAAAAAAAACCACATTTAAAACACCAAAACGGCAGAGTGTTAGGCCTACGTTGACAAAACGACAAAAAAAGTCAACCCAAATGACAACATCTCAAGCTCCCAAAATGGTGGTGGGTGAAAAATACACAAAGGCGACAACGTGCATGCTAGCGTAAACTGTCTAGCGGGTCTCACACCTGTGTTGGGGGAAGTGTACTCAGGCCACCAACCTCCCATGTTCTCCCCCTCCTCCTCCATCGGGGTGGTGCTCTCAGATCCGCCACTGCGCGGGTCCTGGTGGAACGCCTGCTTGCCATCAAACTCAAAGTCCTCCTGCATGGGGGTGGGGTGACAATACTCATTCTAGTCTAGTGACTGAAGTACATTTTGTCTGGGATGTTACAGAGGATAGCGTACAAATCTCACGTCAAACAGAACTACAGTAACATTTTATCTCCCACATCTTGTTGGTATACTGATCATCTACAGCCATCCTTGCTGGCCGTGACCATGTGACCACACTCTCAGAGGGTGTCTCCGGAGGGTTGGGATATGCAAAAATTCCACACATGCGTATTAATACACACTTGTACTTGAAATATGACACATATAAGCACCCACCAAATTATTACTATTGCTACCTTATTCCTTCCCAGGTAGCAATTCCCAGCTGTGAACTCACCCTCACACCCCCCCTCCTTCTACCAACTCACTCACCCATCTTGCCACCTCCCGTCCCCCCTCCCCCCTCCATCATTCATTCTCCCCCATCTTACTCCGTACCTGCAGGCTGTGTTGGTGGGCGGTGCCTCCCAGCTTCTTGCCACCCCTATGTAGCCCTGTGAGTCCCCGGGCCTGCACCAGCTCCTCCTCCAACTCCTGCTGCCGGCTGGCCAGCGCTGGATCGGAGCAGCCGGGAAAGAACCAGTCATCCTCAATCAGTTTTGTGCCACAGGGAAGGGGAGGGAACGATGAAGGGGTGTGTTGATGGGTTACAGAGTTGAACCCACAGAGATGCATTACAGGATGGGGGTGGGTGGGGAGGGAGAGGGAGAGGGAGAGAGAGGGTGGTTGAAGAAAGACAGATGACACAGGGAATGGAGGGAATGAGACAGAGAGAATGGATAGGGAGAGAAGTGTGAGAGAGAGGGCGAGACAAGAGGGAAAGACTGCAAAAGAGCATGCTCACCCAACGGATGAACAAACAACAGCAGCATTGCACACAAGCAAACGTGCAGCCTCACTCCACATAGAAGAGAGAACGGGAGCTAGAGGCACTCCAGACTCCTGGGAGCGTGTGTTCTTTACATACGTGTGTGTGTGTGTGTGTGTGTGTGTGTGTGTGATGATTTTCCTGAAAGCAGCGTTTCTGGTCAAAGCCATGCACAACTAACAGGGAGGGAGACAGGCTGCAACCAAACACGAGGAGGACGGAAGGGGGGCGGGCCGGGGCGTCTGACGTTGGTGCGACTGTCTTTACGGCTCAAGGAGACTGTACTGCAGCAACATTTTGGTGATTTGGCATACTGGAAAGCAGGGAGGTCACAGCCATTTTGGTGATTTGGCATACTGGAAAGCAGGGAGGTCACAGCCATTTTGACTGAAAGCTGCCCACATTGTGATTGGACCGTGATCAGAGGTCACTACATTTTTTATTATCAGTGGTCACTAGTCAGCAATTGGACCATCAAGGGGAAGGGGAGGGGGCAGCAATCACATGTATGTCAAATTGATCAATCAGGGCCAACAATGTGCACAAAACTCATTCCCATCTGTTTTGTGATATGAGGTAGATAGGAGGAGTGGTGGGGGAGGTCTAGCTAAAAGCAGAGAGTGACAACAGAGAAAAGGGTTTCATTGGGTGACAGAGAGAAGGGTTTCATTTGGTGACAGAGAGAAGGGTTTCATTGGGTGACAGAGAAAAGGGTTTCATTGGGTAAGGATTGCAGATGTGATAGTGCAAAGTGATCAATGTAGCCAAGCAAAATCAAAATTGTCATTTTGAATTGGAATTCCGATGAATCTCCTTGAACGAACTGATATGGCATTGACTCCATATAATTTATTAAGTGATGAGCAATCATTGAATGGACATGACAATATTTAAATTGACAGCCAGTTGTTGTTTAGATGTTAAGATGAGCTCCGGAAACCAAGTTTGAGTAGGAATGCACCAATCAGATATTGCAACAGTTAGCTACTTCAACAACTAAAAGCAGCAATGGTGGCAGTGTTACAAAGGCAAATGACAGCAATGAGGTTAGCAAGCGTTAGTAAAGATGGATAGATGATTGGAGAGGACGAAAGCGTTGAAAAACAGCACCACTTGCAGTGTGAGAGCGTGCATGCATGTGTGTGTTTGTGTGTTTGTTAGGAGAACACCTAAAGCTCCCTCAAGCTATTATGTCAGTATATTATATAATTCCAGTCCACTGTCAACATCATCTGTCAAGTAACTATGCACACAATGACATCACAACTGTAGCCTAGAATTTTCACTTTAGTGTTATTAGTGGTTTAGATACAGCCTCATTTTTCTATAGATTAAACAATAAGGATATTTCATTATTCTATTAGAGGAGAGTCCTCTTGGGCTCTTTTGATTGGTTTATTTCTTCTTTATAAACAAGATCATTGGTTAATTTCTTTTTTATAAAGAAGATTTACATTTACATTTTTAGTCATTTAGCAGACGCTCTTATCCAGAGCGATTTACAGTCAGTATCATTGGTTTATTGATTTTTTCCAGATAAGCGCCGTCCTCAGTCCTAATTCCAGTGTTAGCGTTAGCCTTCCCACCACCATAGAAGCCTTGTCATTTTGTTGTGTTAATATGTTTTGCAGATCAGTTGTTCAAGGACAGCGTCATTGTGAAGTCATAAAGGAGTCCGAAGGGTCAGGGAAAGTTGGGGGAGGGAGAGACGGAAGGAAGGAGAGAGGGAGGGGAAAGTGGGAGGAAAGGAAACGGAAAAAGAGAGGTAGATACAGAAAGAAAGAAACACTACATGGAGGAGAAGGATGGCTGGACTAATGAAAAGCACAGGCCTCCACTGTACTGCCCCCAATTTACCCCGGAGGAGGTGAAAAGGATCCTGGGAAACTGAGGACAGTACAGTGGGGGCAGGCCTTCGCTGAGGGGGGAGGGGCCTGCATGCACAAAACTGATGGGAAACAGGTTCTCGTTGGCTGCCCCCATCCCAGGAGCAGGGAGTGGAGGAGGAGGGGGGTGGGGGGCAGGACATGGTGGGAGGGGTGGGGGGGCAGGACCAGACCAAAAAGCTCGCCGGGGACAGATGGTTGGAGGAAAAAAAATGAAACAAAAAATAAACATGCTCAGTCGGACAGTGAGGGGCTCTCAAACAATAACAACAACAGAAGACATGTTGAACTTTAACAGATAACTTGTCTCTAGAATTGGGAAAGCGATGTATGCTGTTTGACAGTGTTAAACAAAAGGTTTGGACGGAGTGGTAGCTGTGTACTATGTGTCGTGGAGGGAGGCGGTTTGGCGGCTGTTGGGTGGTACAACTGTTGCATTTCGGTCTGAGGTGAGGTTTAGTGTCTGTGGTGTGTTGTGTCACAGTGTGTCAGCCCCCTGTGGTAGGGCCAGTGCGCCCTGTGTGTGTATCACCCCCCAGCGGTGGCGGTGCCCTTACCCTCTCTCTCCTCCTCCATGTGGCTCATGCGCAGGGCCATGGTGGCCTTCTCCTCGCGGGCACGGTCCCTGGTCGTCACAGCCTCCGACACCATCTCCTGCCAGTCCAGCACCTGGCTCTGGGCGTCGTCGGCGCTGCCCGACTCGCTGGCCTAGTGTATACGGGATCAGAAAGACATGAAAAGTATGATATTGGTTTGGGGGTAGAGTAAGTATTGGGTCCAGAGATAAGGGCCAGGGGGCGTTCACTTATTCTCAGACAGAGATTAGTCAACATGGGAGAACGTGGTGTTTGATTTCATCTGAGGACAAGTGGCTTTCCATCAGAGAAATGAAGTTGTCAATAGGATGGATGTGTCTGATGTGTTTGGTGTACCGTGCCAGCAGGGTTTCCGTCAGGACATTTGACCGGCAGCATTTTAATTTACCGGACCCATTTGCATTGGGTGTATAGCCTGATTAGAGCATCCACCCCCAGTGCTCAGAATGACAGAAATCAAATTTAGATTATGGTAATTAATTTTAACAGAACATGCAACTCGAGGATGTATTACCGAATTGCAATGTGCACTTTGAAGATGTTAGAATAACTGTCCACATTTACTTTTCCTCAGTCAACAAGACAAGTAACGAACAGCAAAATCACTAGCCTATGTCAATCTACTATCCCCCATAGTAAAAAGGTTGACCTATTGTATTGGTCAGCTTGTCGTTCTGTGCGAGAAAGAAACAGCCTATTCCAAACAGACTCCGGGACAGTTTGGAGGCTGATGCAACAGATCAGAACGTTTAGCTTAAAATGTTGATCAACTATTATTTCTTCACATTATAAGTGCAGCAATGTGTACAAGGCAGTAGGCTACACACTAATGTTTGTTCCATAATGCAGTTAGCAGGAAAACACCACTGTCAAAAGAGCACCGCACATGCAAGCGGTTTCACAAGACAGAGATTAAAATATTTGTTGGAAATTTAGGAATTCTTATTTTGCAATGGGAGTTTTCTTCTCCTGGACAATTTTATTTATCGGCTTTCCATTTTTTGGGGGGACAAAAGTCAGCTATTACTCGTTAACGGAAAGCCTGCGTGACAGTCAAGGTCTGCATTTATAGATGAACACATCTTCCCCTCACTGTTTTACTCAAAATTGAGTATCAATGACTAGACAACACTACTGCACTGCATGCCGCGATGTAGGTGGTACTTCCTCGTTGTAGTGCATGTTGGGGGTGCCGGCTGGTGGGGTTTGAAGTCTGACCTGAGAGGCGGCCCTCTTGGTGACCTGCTCCAGGTCGGCGGCCATCTTCCTCTGCTGCTCCTCGTACACCACCAGCTTGGCCTCCAGCACATCTACATGAGGACAGAGGACATGTTAACCACCTCCAGGACATCTACATGAGGACATAGGACATGTTAACCACCTCCAGCACATCTACATGAGGACAGAGGACATGTTAACCACCTCCAGCACATCTACATGAGGACAGAGGACATGTTAACCACCTCCAGCACATCTACATGAGAACAGAGGACATGTTAACACCTCCAGCACATCTACATGAGGACAGAGGACGTTAGAGACAGAACACACTGTAGACAGATCCTGAATAACACGCTGAAGGTACATTGACAAAGATCACGCAGATCCTGAATAACACGCTGAAGGTACATTGACAAAGATCACGCAGATCCTGAATAACACGCTGAAGGTACATTGTCAAAGATCAAACCTCACAAGTGACCAAAACAATATACAGATGTACAAGACTGAAACAGATCACTTGTAAACATGGGGAGCCGTTACTAATTTAGATGGGTCTACAATCCTCTTGTAAATCACCACCAGACTACACAACGATGAGTTGCAGTACATGTAAATAGAGAACATCTGCAGTAGTAAGCCCCTTTTGTTAAAGGGATAGTTAACTTTGAATTATTTATTTTTCTAGCGTTGCTAAATTCTCCATAAATGCTAGCCAGGGGGGTTTGCTAAATACTCAGTTAACAAATTTTTAATGGTTATAAGTGACAACACCCTGGGGAAGTCCTCAATAAGATAACACTTACAAAACTAGCTAGCACAATAAGTTCATTGCACCATGGTCCAGATAAATGTAGTCAGGTGATTGATGATAGTTGAAGGCTCTCCTCACCGTTCTTGGCCTTGATCTCGTCATACTGCTCCAGCTTCCACAGCGTCTCCTCCCGCTCCTCCTCCAGATCCGTGATGCGGCTCCGCAGGGACGTCACGTCAGGGCCCACGCTGCCAGACTGGAGGAGGGACAAAGTTCAGAGGTCGAGGAAAGCTCAGCGCAACATGTCTGGTTGTTGAATGAGACTAAAGGTGTACGACATACATTCATGGCAACATTTTCCCTCTCCCAAAGATCCCTCTGATCATACTAATCGTAGAAGTCTAAATAGATGGGAGCTCTGAATTAAAATAATTGCCCTCTTCTCACAGACCATTGTTACAGAAAAGTTACAACATTGATCACGCTGCAGATTATAATTGACTCATTCCGCCTATTTAAAATGTTCCAGTTAGTTTGCTAGATATAACTGAATCTCTTACCTGGCTTTTCCTCAGCTCGTCCTCCAGCTGTCGGATACGAGACTTGGACCAGGCTTTCACCTTTAGGAACTTGGCTTCCGATTGACTGGCCTCCTCCGATTTCAGCTTGGCTTGTGCTGTGAGAGACGAGAAAGGAAGGGAGGAGAGAGGAGAGAGAGAGAGAGGACAGAGAGAGAGGAGAGTAACAGGAGAAAAGCAGATCATCAGATCTTCACAAGACCTGAAAAAGAGCTTAACATCCCAGGAAGCCCATTAACATTATATAACCATCCTGTAGTCAGTAGAATGTGTGCATCTGTCCACATCTATACCGACTACCTACCTTCCAGCTCGTTCATCCTCTGGACAGTGGCTGGAGAATCCACCGGCGGCGTTTCTCCGGCCACCGCCTCCCCGCCACTCCCTGCTTGCGTCTGGGACTGCAGAGCAGCAGGGGTCCTTCCCAGCTCCTCCTGTAGCTGCCCGCGAAGTGCCTGCTCCCGTTCGGCCAGCTGGGCCTCGTGGAACTCGGCGGCACGGCGCAGCTCGCCCTGATGCTTCTCCAAGAGGTCACGCAGCTGAGCCCGCATCACGTGCTTCTCAGCCTCCATCTTGGACCCGAGGCTCTCACGCTCCACCTGCAGCCGCCGCGCCCGCTCCACCAGGTCCTGTGAGAGAAAAGGAGGAATGAGGAGAGAGCAGGAGGAGGGGACAGAGAGGGATGGATGAGGGAAGGAGGGACCATTTGTGATCACTGTTCTAGGCTAGGGTTGTTGAGATACCAGTATCACGATACTGCGATACTCAAGTTACCATGGCAGGAAAGAAAACAAAGCAGAGAGAACTATGGTCTTGCTTTATGTCAAATATTGTGCCTAGTCTACGCTGTCAGGAAGCACTTTCTAATCAAAACAGCGAGAGATTACATCATAAGGGGATTGGTCTCCCTCATCTGAACTGAATCGCTCCAGGGTCACCGTTGATAGTGGCAGACCCTGACCGTGATCCCCACTCTCGGAGGGTGTCCGGAGAGATGGGATATGCAAAAAACACATTTAGAATTCACACAGGCGTATTAATACACACTTGTACATGTATGAAATAGGACAAATATAAGCACCCACCAAATTATTATTAATTATAGTAGGTGCCATCACCTAGTTTGTATTCTTGATTCTCCACCCTTTTCCAGAAGTGTGCACTTGCACACTTGGCATTGGATTGGTGTAAGAAGTGTCTGGAGAGAGCTCCCGTCATTGTTAAATGAATGCAGGAAGGTGTGCAAGTGCACACTTCGGGATAAGAGTAGAACATTGGGACGTAGCCCATATTGCTTTGGCCCACCATTCCAATGGGTATAGTTGTTAACACCCATGTGGTTTGTTATAATATATGATGATAATAATATATGCCTTTTAGCAGAAGCTTTCATCCAAAGCGACATAGTCATGTGTGCATCAATTGTTCATATGGGTGGCCCCAACAGGAAACAACCTCCTGATCCAGGCGTTGCAAGCGCCATGCTCTACCAAGTGAGCCACTAAGAGGACCCCTTAAAGGGATAGTTCACCTTAAATAGTTTGACCTATTTAAATAACCCCTCACCTTGATCTGCTGGTCTCTGGAGTCCACCTCCCCCTGGAGGACATCAATCACCTGGTTTTTACCCTGCAGCACCTCCTCCTTCTCATGTAGTTTCTGTTTCAGAGCCTTCAGTAGCTGGGGAGGACAGACAGCCATGTCAGCAACTACACTACCCACAGTGCACAGCAGTGACACATCAGAACTTGGTCTTGTGGTCACACTAGGACATTGCATGTTGTAACTGGAAATGTTAAACATTTGGTGCAATTTGCTGGATGTATAACTGATCTGAAACAGAATGTTCCTTCCAATGACTTAAGAAAGGATAATCTATAGTGTATCTACAGCTAGCATGGAGCCGGGTTATAGAGTTCAGAATGAATAGAGTAACTTCATGGAATGAGGACAATTTAAAGTGGGTTCATAGTTGATTTTACTGTTCATTTAAATGGTAAAACAAAAGTAACAGCTGTAAATCCTCTAGTCTAGTTTACCTGTTCCAGATCAGCGCTGGCGTCAGACTTGGCGGCCAACTTGAAGAGCTCCTGTTCATGCATCTGGTTGACCTCTGTTAGCTTGTTGTCTTTCTGCAGAATTATGTCTTTAAACGTCTGGATCTAAAACGTCAACATACATAGACAGTTCATTCAGAAGACATTTGTGAAGCTTGAATACACAGCTGGTCACGGCTGGTCTGACAGTGAAATAGAGCGTTTGCGTTTTCTTCAGCTGATGAGGTGACCAGTGATGTGATTGGCCATGACACAACAAACATGAAAAAGGTGATTTTACAGGGACGGAGGAGTGGAGTTGTAACTTGATTCTTTTTTTTGTTTTAACGTTTATCTGTCATTAATAAACGTGACGATAAACATTGTGATGAAAAAAAGTGTACATATCTCTTATAGAAAACACATATAAAGTCAGAATCAGACTTGCTGATATATCAGCAAAACCTGTGATTTTCACCATAACCTACGTTTTGCTTGTACATGTTCTCCTTGTCCTCGAAGGCAGCCTTCTCTGTGACTAGAAGCTCCTTGAGGCTCTCGGTCTGCTCCTGCAGCAGGCTGTAGCGCTCATCACCCTCGCCCACCTTCCTGGTCAGGCTTAGGACCAGCAGCTGCAGCTCCGCCAGGGAGTCCGCTCCACTCTCCTCCGGCAACGCCTGGAAAACCATCCACAAACTTTGCATTAAAGTTCCACGACATTACCTTCACGTTACATCGACGTTACATTTTGCATTAAGGACATGCGGGAACACAAAACCATGTCCAGAGACGAGATAAAAGAGTGAGGCAGTACCAGGTGGGTCCAGTGACGCTCAATTATTTAGAGGTTGTGTGGTGGGATACCTCGTATTCGGTTGTGTGCATGAGGTCGTGCACAGGGTAATATGACTGTGCTGGTCTGGAACAAAAAGCTTCACCCCGTGTATCTCCAGGACCAGGGACTACTGTTACTGTTACCCCCACCCCAAACTTCTCTCTGAAAACCGTTGTGTCCCAATAGCATCATTGTTGGGTCGTGCCAATTTTCCATGTTATGTATATTTCAAGGACAATAAAGCTTCTGGAATTTGTATTTACCTTCTGCTCCGTGTCGGGTTCGGCTGGAGGCGTGGCCGTCTGCTCTCCGGTGGCCATGCCCGTCTGCAGGTGGACTATGTAGGCCTCCTTCTCTGACAGCTTCCTGTTTCGCTCCACCAGCATGGCGTCCATGTCTGCGCCACGCTGCCTCTGGGCCTCCAGCTCTCGTGACTGGTAGGGGGAAAGACGCGGGCACGGTCAGATGCAAATCGGTGCACACTTACACACAACAACAAAAAATACTAATTCACACAAAATGTTTAGATTTTCCGAACACCATGAAATTTACTCGATCAAGTACAACTAAGTATGCAAAGACAGACACACTATACATACACACTTGCTGGACAAAGCCCTGAACCACGAACATGACTAAAGACGTATTCTCTATTTAACAGAGTAGGCTACATAGCCTTGGCTACAAGACTGACCTAGGATAGATTGACCTAAAATAGATTGACCTAAGATACACTACCGTTCAAAAGTTTAGGGTCATTTAGAAATGTCCTTGTTTTCGAAAGAAAAGCAAATATTTAGTCCATTAAAATAACATCAAATTGATCAGAAATACAGTGTAGACATTGTCAATGTTGTAAATGGCTATTGTAGCTGGAACGGCTGATTTCCAATGGAATATCTACATAGGCGTACAGAGGCCCATTATCAGCAACCATCAGTCCTGTGTTCCAATGGCACGTTGTGTTTGCTAATCCAAGTTTATCATTTTAAAAGGCTAATTGACCATTAGAAAACCCTTTTGCAATTATGTTAACACAGCTGAAAACTGTTGTGCTGATTAAAGAAGCAATAAAACTGGCCTTCTTGAGACTAGTTGAGTATCTGGAGCATCAGCAATTGTGGGTTCGATTACAGGATCAAAATGGCCAGAAACAAATAACTTTCTTCTGAAACTCGTCAGTCTAATCTTGTTCTGAGAAATGAAGGCTATTCCATGTGAGAAATTGCCAAGAAACTGAAGATCTCGTACAACGCTGTGTACTACTCCCTTCACAGAACAGCGCAAACTGGCTCTAACCAGAATAGAAAGAGGAGTGGGAGGCCCCGGTGCACAACTGAGCAAGAGGACAAATACATTAGAGTGTCTAGTTTGAGAAACAGATGCCTCACAGGTCCTCAATTGGCAGCTTCATTAAATAGTACCTGCAAAACATCAGTCTCAACGTCAACAGTGAAGAGGCGACTCCGGGATGCTGACCTAGGCAGATTTGCAAAGAAAAAGTCCATTGTCTGTATTCTTTTGCCCATCTTAATCTTTTATTTTTATTGGCCAGTCTGAGATATGGCTTTTTCTTTGCAACTCTGCCTAGGTCAGCATCCCGAAGTCACCTCTTGAACATGACCCAGCTGTGGCCTGAGGGCACCTTGCAGGAGATAACACTACACCAACTCATTCCTCACATTGCAGAAGGATATTGGCTTCCCTTATCTGTCCGCTGGCTAAGGAAACATGCACCTCGGCTTTCTAATCAGGAACAAGGCGATGTTTCTGTTTTGAGTGGTGACATTCTCTTGTTACTACCGGTATGTAGGCTATGTGGGTAAAGAATTAAGGGCTGTTTTAAAAGGTTAGTTCACAATCACACTGGATTGATGAAAGCCATGTCCTATACTACTCATACACTGAATATTAAGCCTTTTTACTGTGGAATGTTTAAGTTATGACACACTAAAGTCCACTAGAACACTAATTATGGTCTTCGCTTAGTAACACAGTATTTATTTATTTGTGTATTGTAGTTACGTATGTACAGTGCATTCGGAAAGTATTCAGACCCCTTCCCTTTTTCTACAGCCTTATTCTAAATGGATTCAATAAAAACATTTCCTCATCAATCTACACACAATACCACATAATGACAAAGCGAAAACAGGTTTTTAAAATGTTTGCAAATGTATTACAAATAAAAAACAAAAATACCTTATTTACATACACTACCAGTCAAGATTTTGGACACACCTACTCATTCAAGGGTTTTTCTTTATTTTTACATTGTAGAATAAAAGTGAAGACATTAAAACTACGAAATAACACATATGGAATCATGTAGTAACCAAAAAAAGTGTTAAATCAAAATATATTTTATATTTGAGATTCTTCAAATAGCCACCCTTTGCCTTGATGACAGCTTTGCACACTCTTGGCATGATTTGGAAAGGCACACACCTGCCTATATAAGGACCCACAGTTGACAGTGCATGTCAGAGCAAAAACCAAGCCATGAGGTCGAAGGAATTGTCAGCAGACAGAATTGTGTCGAGGCACAGATCTGGGGAAGGGTACCAAAACATTTCTGCAGCATTGAAGGTCCCCAAGAACACAGTGGCCTCCATCATTCTTAAATGGAAGATGTTTGGAACCACCAAGACTCTTCCTAGAGCTGGCCGCCCGGCCAAACGGAGCAATCGGGGGAGAAGGGCCTTGGTCAGGGAGGTTACCAAGAACCCGATGGTCACTCTGACAGAGCTCCAGAGTTCCTCTGTGAAGATGGGAGAACCTTCCAGAAGGACAACCATCTCTGCAGCACTCCACCAATTAGGCCTTTATGGTAGAGTGGCCAGACGGAAGCCCCTCCTCAGTAACAGGCACATGACGGGCCGCTTGGTGTTTGCCAAAAGGCACCT